TAGAGCTAATCCAAAACGTTATTAGAAGAACTTGTCGCGTTGCATTTACTTATTTTTGATTATTTTAGTATGTTTTTAATGGAAATCAGCACCGCGTCCAAAAGTATCAGACGACAGTATATTGCTTAGAAGCAGTTCATTTTGTAGCATTAAAAGATTATCCTGATCTGTATTTTGTTCTTTTATGATTTAACATTTTTTAGAAACTTCTCCTTTTATTTATTAATTTTTGCGATTATTTCTTTTCTTTTCTGCCTCTGAATTTTTTCTGTAGTATCTTGCTTATAAGAATGTTTTTTAATACCTACTTTTTCCGTCCTTATGTTTGAGATAGAGTAATTTATAATTACGAGCAAAAGTTGCAAATTTAGAGAATGATTGCCGATTTTACCGTAGAACTTTCCAGTCCTTTCGCTCTGTTCGCTGACGACTTGAAACTGTATAACTCCTAATAATGTTTTAAAGGCGGATTTAATAACACTATATGCAAGGCCGCAAAAATGGCTTATGCCCTTCAATATCAAAAAAATGCTGTGCACCTCATCTAGGCAGCAAAAATCCCAAAATGCAATATAATCTTGGGGGCCACGTTTTGCAGTGTGTATCGTCGTAGATTGACTTGGGCGTCACTTTTACAGAAGATTTGCCCTGATCTTCTCACATCTTATCTCAAAGAAGCTAACTCCATTGGGTATTTTAGCTTTCCTCGGTGCTGCCATCCATATCATCGCAAAACAGCACAACACTTATAAATTTTTAAAATCAACAATATACAACAAAATTTTATAACTAACTTATTGGGAGCCAATTTCAAGTTGGAATTGCGACTCTCGATTCCTATATTCGCGATCGCAACTTCTGTCATCGCATCTTCCATTACAATGGGGACTTATGATATCGCATGTCCAACTTAAAATTGGCTCCCCAGAAACCACTGAACCAATTGCTCTGGAATCTAGAGTGTGTGTGGAGACTAGCGTCAGCTTGATAAGCGTTTAACCAAAATTTGTCTAATCATCCCAATAAAAATTTGACCTATCTTGACCTGACCTGATTTGACTTTATTTTCGGGAAGTGGGGAAAATACATTTGCGTACCCCCAGGAACTCATTCGTTCTGAGGAATTTAAGACGGGACTACCTACTAAAATTCATACTCCTATTTTTTTGCCCAATTGCTGTCATCAGAACCACCAATCGGTATTACTTTAGTGACAGCGACTGCCTTGGTTATCTCTTTACCAGTTATTGGTCATTTTCCTTTTGGTCTATACTTTTATTGAATAACCCTGCCATTATCTGGACTAATTTCAGTTTTTAGCTTTAAGTTTGCTTCTTGCCTCTTCTTCATCCATTTTACACATATTTAGGCCATCTTTTTTGTTGCAATACCAGCAGGTTTCTGTGTTTGGCTTTCCAATTTTCTTGAGGTAGGTCTTAAATCATCTATGCCTGAATTATAGAGAAATTCACGAATCCATGTTTCTGTCTAATCCACATCTTCACGTTTGCTATCACCTTTTTTGCCCATTGAGCCTTATCAGTCATGATTTCTCACTTTCTCTAAAATCTGACCTTCACTTCTGCCACTTCTTTTGCCACTCGGCTATTGTCTATTTCCTTGCGGCTTGTATAGTAGTCTCCTTTTCTTTCTTTATAAGAAACCCTTTTAAGTCATCAACAAAGAGTACTTCACCCCTTATGTTCCGAGTTAGCTTCGTCTATGATCTGTCTCCCCGGTACACCCCTCTCTAAAGCCGTACTGGTTGTCAGCCAGTTCTCTGGTCTCATCCTGCGGCTCCTCTTTCAAGAGTTTCAAAATCAACTGTTCAAAGCAGCTGGGTCAAAATTTTCTAGATCCTGGATTCAAGATCAAGACCAATCTGGTGGTTTTCCATTCAACCGGGGTCTTTCCCATCCTTAGAGTGTCTTTCATTATTTTCAACGTCTTTTCGAATCTCGTGTTAAGTGCTAGTTTAGCTATCTTGGGAGTTGAGCGATCTGGTCCGGCTCTATTTTGTATTTTATTTTCTGCATTGCCTTCCTCAACTTCTGCTCAGCTGACCTGACCTGACCTGACCAGACATGACCTGACCAGACATGACCTGACCAGACATGACCTGACCAGAGATGACCTGACCAGACATGACCTGACCAGAGATGACCTGACCAGACATGACCTGACCAGATATGACCTGACCAGACATGAGTTGACGTGACCTTACCTTACTTTTTTCTGTAGACGAAAAATGCACGTACACGTAGTACTGCTATCGCACTAGGGAGTACAGAACTCCTACCGACTAAAACGCTTCCTTGAATAGTGAGGTCATCTAGGAGCCACCGGCAGATATTACGTCCAGGCACCTAATGCCGTCATCTTCATATGCTTTCTTGCTTTCTCTCCTCTGCCTCTTTCTCGTTTATTATCCTGTCACTGAAGTTTTTAAGGGTATTTCATTTCTTAGTCGTACTTATACATTCTCTTTTGTTTTCGACCGCAATGATAGTACAGATCTTCTCTTGTAATTTACCTGTCCTGACCTGACCTGACTTGACTTGATTTGACCCGACCCGACCTGATATGACCTAACCTCTTTTTTCTGGCGGAGAGAAAACCTTCACTGGCACCTGGGAAGTTGTCCCAGATAGTGTTGGATTCCCATCCCAAGATGGTCGGAGGCGAACCTATGAACTAAAAACCCTTCTCCCTCTTCATTGTTCTCACCGGAACCGCTTGTGCATTACTTCAGGGGACCTGACCTGACCTGACCTGGCCTAACCTGACCTGACCTAACCGAACCTTTTTTTTTCTGTGAAAGGGGAAACCCTCATGGGTACCAGGGCCTTAGGTTCGACCGTCCCTGGTAGTGTCGGACTTTTATCGACTAAAACTCCTTTCTCGACCAGCTGTTCTCCTACCCCCTCGGAACCGCGTTAGCATTACTTCAAGGGGGTGGTTGGTTGACACTTGCTTCTTCCTTGTCCTTGACCATTACTTCTTCCCAATTTTGTTTTGCTAACTTTACCTATTTAGCCTCTCTTTCTATCCTCCTTAATTATTACCTGTCTTTCTCTTCCCTGGTTTTTTTTATTATTATTAGTTGTTTTGCTAACTTTACCTATTTAGCCTCTCTTTCTATCCTCCTTAATTATTGCCTGTCTTTCTCTTCCCTGTTTTTTTTTATTATTATTAGTTCTTATCTTCCTTACTGTTCCCATTTATTTTCATCTGCTTTCTTGTCACACTTTTCACTTTTTTGAACTTGTTTCTCTCGTGCTTGTCTTTATTATTGCCTTTTTTTTCTTTTCTTTTCTTTTCTTTTTATTCACTCACCTCTCACTTCCTCTCTCCTTTCTCTCTGTCTTTCATACTCACATTTCGCTTTCATTATTATAACTAACATCGTTTCTGTTGCCATTCATCCCTCTTCATTCTCTATCATCTCAATCATATTATCAGCATTCACTCTTATGCCCAATTCCACTTCACTTCTGACTTAACCTGACCTGACCTGATCTGACCTGATCTGAACTGATCTAACGTGCCGCGATAGCCAACTAATAAAAATTTGTTTAATCATTCTTAGAAAAAGTTTTTAGTAGTAAGTACATGATAGTTAAATTTATAAAATAATATGCGTCTATCGTGTATTTAATTATATAATTAATCTTTTTTTTTAATTTCTTATCAAATTAATCTACATATCAGAAAAATTCTTACATGCATTGGATTAACTTGCCGACCTAGCTTGAACCTGGTGTGACCTAACTTTACCTTTTCTCGGACGAGGAAAAATCCAAATAGTGTTGGTACTAGGGAGTGCCGGACTCCTACCGGCTAAAACCCCTCCTTGGAGAGTATAGTAATAACTGTTCGGAACCACCCGCACCTAATGCTATCATTTTCACATTTTTTCTTCCTTTCTCTCCTCTGCTTCTTTTTCTTTTATTATTGTTCCATGACGTTTTTCAGAGTATTCCATTTCTTTAGTCGTACTTATCCATTCTATTTTGTTTTTGACCGCAATGATAGTGCCGATCTTATCATGTGCATGACCTGACCTGACCTGATGTGACGTGCCTGACCTGACCTGATGTGACCTGAGCTGACCTAACCTGACCTAACTAGATCTGACCACACCTGACCCGACCTGACCCAACCTGACCGGACCTGATCTGCCGTCATAGTCAAATGTAAATTTGATATTATGATTCTTACAAAAAGTTTGAGTAGTAAGTAAATTGTAATTAAAGTATAAAATAGTATGTGTCTATACGTGTATTTAATTAATTCATCTTTTTTTTTCATTTCTCGTCAAATGAATTTAAATGAGAAAAAGCCGCATATGCACTGGATTACGCTTCTGAAGACAATTTTATTGAAGAATTCTACGAAAAAAATATGAATAAAACTTTTCTACTGAGGCACTACGTCTTAGGACTGCTTTTTGAATAAGGATTTATTGGAGGATAATATCTCAGTTTTGATTTTGACACATTAATCACGTCACATTTAATGAAAATTAAACGAGGCATTCCAAACTGTTAAAAATAGTAAATGTTATTAGTGGGTACATAATACAATTGTGCACCCCTGATCTTGAAACTTTAGACTCTGTCGATTTCTTTATACACACGATTTTTTTCTATTATTACCATGATTATTCATAGGGGTATCCAACGAACACAACCTGGAACAAAGGTTCCAAAACTACCACATGTGTTCAGTGTATTCTTTTGTATTCGAATCCTTCAAAATAACTGATACGACCCCAATTTTCTGCAAGACCAATCATTGATATCGTAAAACAGGAATTAACCTTCTGTCGTTTCAGTCGTAATTCCGGAAAAATGCAGTATCATGGTATCGTCAGTCAAATAAATCACCCAACAAAACAAACAAAAATTCTCCCTTTTGGGACTAGCTAATCAAATCAAATATGACAACCTGTTCCGATTTCGTGTAACATCCGTGACTAACCCAACTACTTCTTCCAGGTCGACATGGAGGTAATCAAGAGCACGGAATACGTGCCGCCCCCGGAGAGCAACATGAATGGGCACTACAGCCACCTCATGTCTCATCACAACCAAAGCGTCCGAAGCCAGCAGCGGCCGTCAGAGTGGGAGACGGTGAATGGGCGCGCGAAATCCCGATCAGCGGCGGCTCCAGTGCCTGCCCCAACACAGGCGGCAGTAGACGCAAGGCGTAGGAAGCAAACCACTAAACCGCAAATGGATAGCCACGACAGACTGATCAACAATCGGAGTCTCAGGCCGACATCAAAGGCCAAGAATCAAAGACCCGCCGCGCAGAGAATGGAAAAAGTGAAAGGGGTTGTGGGGTACCAGAGTGCAACCGCGTGTTACGTGGGGGGTGCGATGCAACATGACAGTGCTGTGTACGGTGTTTATTCGGAAACTAAGTACACTTTTGCTGTGAACGGCATGCCGGGGACCTCCGCTCAGGCTTCGGCGGCGGCGGCGTTTTTTGCAAGGTTTGTAAACTAATAATGTCAACAATGCTTGGGTTTTTGGCGGTCTATTTTTTAAATTTTTATTCGATAAGTTTTGAGTTATTACGGAAATTAAACGGAATATTTAGAGCTGCCTTTAAAGTTTTATAAGTATGTAATTTTGGCTCTGAAGCGGAAAATGAAGAATGAGAACGAGTCCGAAGGAAAAAAAAATCAATTATAATAGCACTGTTTTGCAAATTGATAGAAATGAAGTCGGAACTCTAATTTTTTTTTTAATTAACTGACTGTTATTTCAATACAAGTTTTGTGTTTTACACACATACTGTATTTATTGTGGAGAGTTTGTTCATTCATTTAGTTTTAAATCCTGGAACACTGACCAACATTTTTCAGTAAATTTAATTCTTCCAGTTTGGGAACTTTTATCCTTAATTATAGATAATGTCAATACAACTACAAGTTGAAAAAATGCCTACAATGAGTTATTTGTAAAGTGCAATAAATCCGTCAATTACTACAAATTTTGATTAAACTGACCGGTGTGTGGTCAAATTTTGGAACTTAATTACAGTACACCTGTATGAACGTTGACCATATGGTCGTTTTAGGAGATGTTATTGTTAGTATGCAGCGAACATTTTCGATTAGACCGAATTAACTTTACAGTCGATTACAAAACTTGAGGAACTACTAAATGGTACGAAATGATTTCTCTCGAGAGTACGTGGTTTTCCAAGGTAGTGATTTAGGAAGTAATCTTTTTGTGTTTTGTTGCAAATCTTACCGTATTTTTATTTGATAGAATATTTTAATGAATAGTTTTTCAAAAATACAAATGTTGCGTTGATATTAAGAAGGTCATTCTCCTAAGATTAATAATAGGAATATGTTGTTTTGCTTATACGTTATGTTAATTTTATGACTTAACCGCAACTAGTCATTTAATTCCATTCGAGCTTATAACGATGACTATAACAATACAATTTTATTTTTTTCTTACATTGTTTAATAAAACACTCTTTTAATTAATTAAAAACTCTGATGCTGATATTTTATTTAAAATAATGTGTTTAATCAAGCGTATTTGTTAAAAATTGTTTAACTTAGTTAACATACACTTCTGTATTTTGAATAAAAGATTTTATTTTATTTCTTTAACTGTTATTCAATAAATTTTCGCTTTATGACTGCAATTTAGGGGAAAATTTTGGAACTAATTTTAAAATTTGAAATGTAATTTAAACAGAGTACCTATCTATTACAATTTTGAATTAAGTCGCGAGTTTGGAACTAAATTACGTTAGACCTTTATGAACGTTGACCATATGGTCGTCTGAGGAGATCTTAGCATGCAGCGAACATTTTCGATTAGACCGAATTAACGTTACACAGTCGATTGCAAAACTGGAAGAGCTACTAAGTGGTACAAAATGATTTCTCTCAGTGGTACGTGGTTTTCAAAGGTAGAGCCTTAGGGAGTCTTGTTGTGATGCTTACAGTTTTCTATTTAACGGGTTGTTTAAACTGAATAGTTTTTGTTTGAAAACCTTCACCACAAATGTTCCGCTGATATTAATAAGGTCGTTCTCTGAAGATTAAAACGAGCATGTTGTTTTGGTTATGTTCATTTTATGACTTAACCGCAAGTCATTTAACTTCATCCAAGCTTATAACCCTACAATTTTATTTGTTTGTTATTGGCTGATAATAATGTTTGATAAAACACTGGCTGAAATCAAATTAAAAATTAAGATAAAAGTATTTTATTCAAAATAACTGTTTAGACTAGTGGAATTTGTTAAAAAAGTACTTTTTTAATTTTTGAGTATCGATTTCGGCTATCGTCTTCGTTCTGAATTTCATATTTTTTCATAACAACTACTAATCGTCAAAATTTTATCTACTGATTGCAATTTAATTTGCATCTCCCATGTATGGTGGACCTCAATTTTTGATTTGGCGTTTTTGAATTCCTTGTCAAAGTGACTGAAGATTTCAATGTTTGGGTACACGCGAAACACTATACAACGTACACACGAAAATCGAACTACTGGTAAAGTTTTATGTTACGTCATCTCAAGATACTAAATTTAATCAAACCATTTCATGTGTAGTTGCATAATCCTACCTTAATGCATTGTTTTTTCAACAGTTTTGAAAATATGTTTAAGTTCATTACATGATTTTCTATACAGATTGAAACGTTAGTTAAGTTTTTTTACAGTTTGCTTTTTTATAGGAAAGAAAATACACGACTGAGAATCTACGGAAAAAATGTACATAGAAATATTAAAATCAACTAAAATTTTTGCAATAAAGATTCAAATGGCATCTTCTCGAAAACAAAAATGAAAACATGATTAAAGACATCTGGCTTAAATTGCTTCCTCCCTGAACTAGTGGATTTTAGAAGATCTAGTAACTTGCTAATAACAGGGGTTCCAAATTATATAGAAGAAGATGTAAAAGTTAAACATTCTTCAAATGATAAAGACAATTTACTTTACTACTATTGTTAATTTATGTTTAATTTATTTTTTTGTGTTTGTTTATATTTATTTTTATTTATGTCGACGTATATCGTTGTCAAGTAATTAAAAGGAGCATTATTTCGTTTTTACATCTCGAGGGTATACTAAGGAAGTATTGTAATAGAGTCCATCCGGCGAATGACCACTTTAATGTTTTCTCGACGTTTTATAACACTTGGAGTATGAAAAAATAGGTCACCCGTTTCCGTTTGTCTGTCGTCGTTCGTTTGTCGCGCGTCTGTGGCCTATCTGTTATCTATATCCTAAACACTACCGATTTTTGCCAAATTTTGCATGTTTGTCAGGAATATCGTGTAGATGCTAAAACGCTAACCTAAATTTGTCTGATCATCCCCACCAACAACGTTATCTAAAAATTTTGCATGATAAATACTCCTAATATTTAATTTTTACAAAGTAACATACGTTACTACTATACTTGTTTTTTATGAAATTGTTTTGATTGTTTACTTTTTTTTATATAACATTTTATAACAGAATAACAGGAAAGCAAAACAATGGCCGATTAATTTGTTAAGAGTCGTGCTAATAATCCTAGGGCCGTGGGTTCGGTTCCCTCACGAACTATTTTTTTTTATGTTACAACGTAGCTATTTTTTGTAACTTATAAAATCAATGAAATTCCGAAAAATCTAATTTTATAATTTCTCGAAGAATTCTGGAAGTTTAGTCTAGATAATACTTATTAGGCCAATTTTGTTTCAAATTTCGAACATAATTTACTTGAATATTGTACATAAAAATTCCTTTACTATGGTGGTCCATTAGAGACACATTTTTTTACCTCCAGATCGTAAGCTAGGGGACTTGTCGGTTTCATGTTTTCTCGACTTCTTATGACCTCTAGAATACGAAAAAAGTGGTCCTCGTTTCCGTCTGTCTACCTGTCTGTCAAATTTTATATGTATATTAGAAATATCATGTAGGTATATGCTAAGACGTTAACCAAAATTTCACTAATCGTCTCCATCTACAATTTGATGGCGTCATTTCAAAGGATTCTATTTTAAAATTATTTAAATGTTATACAATAATATACTCGTATACTTGTGGTGTACGAATCCGCTTTGAAATTTTTTCATGAATGGTATTAACACGGATATAAGCTCACTGAAACTGATGTGATCTATGTTGATGACATCATAACCAGTTTTGTTATGGAAAAACTCACTTGAAACATTCCATAACATGCTCTTTTGTTTTAACACAATTGCGTGTGGCGCTGACGCATCGTATCTGACCGTGCTTGAGGTTTTTGGAAGTATAAACATAAACACTTGAAGTTAAGTATGTTATTATTACTGAGAAGATATTTTGTCCCGTTAGTTATTTGCTTCAAATATATTTTACATTGTCCGTAGTTTTGCGGATCGCGTCTCCTTGGAATTTGCTTGTTATTTGTGTCGCTTTTGAATTTTATTGATTTTTATGACTAGATGAAGACTGAATTTTACTGTGTCAAGTGGCGAATCTATGCTTAAAAAAATCAAAGTGGCCCCGCCTACTCACCCGATTTTCTTTTAGGTCACTCATTTTGTTGGACGAAAAGTGCATTTTATATTGAATAACAGTAGAATCTAGTAATCTAGACAAAAAGCTAAAACTAACCCCACCCACCTCCGCTTTTGAATTCCATTGGCTTATCTGATTAGATGGAAATTGATTTTTACTTTGTCGAGAATTTACTTCCAAAAATTCAAAGTGGCGCCGTCCACCCACCCGCTTATCTGCAACATCATGAATCCTATTTGTCAAATCTTATAATTTTTCAAAGAAGAGGGATTTCTCGGACTGAATTTCTCTCGGTCCCTGAAGTACAGTCCGACAAATTTCATTTCCTTGAAATATTATAAAATTTGTTTTTGCGTTTTTTGTTTTATGATGACCTATATATAAAATAACCAATGAAAAAAAAAATGTTATCTGTACATGCTTAACTTCCACTGTTTATGTTTTTACATCGAATGAATGTGATGATGAAGTACGTAGAAAACGCTTGATTTGAAATATTTTATTTCTACAAGACAGAGCCCCCTCTGTCAAAATCATTCAAAATTAACATTTTTAATTAAAATAGAGCAAAACGTTCTTAATAAGTATTATGATTATAATTTTTATTTTATTATAATTAAAAACAGGCGCCCTGAATGTCATGAATACAAAAACTGTGACCCGTGAGCCAATCAAATCAGCGACTTTCGCCTTAGTAATTCGATATTTTAGTCGCACAACTACAAAGTTTTCCACATGTTCTGGCATAAAATGTGATGATGCAATTTGTATTTTTTTTGCGAAAATCTGGATGGATTGGGTAAAAAATCAAGACGGATTCATAAACCACAAGTACAGAAGTATGTTATTTTATAAAATTTAACTGGAGTTTACCAAAAAATATTTTGATGGAATGTCATCAAATTGTTGGTGGAGATGACTAGGCAAATTTTGGTTAGCGTTTTTACCGTCTTC